TTTAGACGAAATTTTTTATTTATCTCCAATTTCGTTTATTAATTCATGCAAAACTTCCCAGGGAACCTTTAGGTTTTCTAGAAAGTAAAGCGACTATCAACAATGTTAAGTAAATTAATCTGAATTTCGTTCATTGATCTAAATTCTTCATATGAATAGATTCAGTAATTTACCAACATACTTTCTCAAAACTTTTTCAATCATTCTGAATATAACCAATTACATAATTTCTACTCATTCTATTTTTGATTGAAAGCATATAAACAAAAAACGATCAACTCATAGTATCTAACCATACTTGAAATTCTGCAGTAACTCATACTGTTTCAAAGACAGTCTGCACTGACTTTAATTACATAAAGAAACAATGTATTTTCAAAAGTTCACATAATTAAGAACGACAGCGGAATCAAACCGCAGATTTTCAGGTTTTTCAATGAGCTGTAAACGATATTCTTCCTTTTGGCAAAAGTAAGGTTCTATGGAATCAGTCGTTTGATGGGTCAGTTGCATACTTACAATAATCGGTGGTTATCGTGCTAAACTGTGGATCAGGTAAATTTTTTATTGATTTCTACCGGATTCTGAATCATTGATTGAATAGTGTAGAGTTAGTCATACAAAGCAAAGGTCTTATCTGTGTATTGGGTATTTATTTAGAAAATTATAAACTTAGACAAAGCGGCCATTCACCAATCGTTGCTTTACAGTGCTTATCAATTTATTATCAGTTTGTGATGAAAACGATCTTTAAGTCAAACACGAGTTTCGAATAAATGAGTTAAATCAGTTCTTTTGCCTAGTTTGCGTTTGACGTTAATTTACACTGGAAAAACATCAGAGATTATTCAAAGATAAATAAAAAATTAATGATGACAAGTGAATCTTAGTGCTTTTTCTATAGATTGTTAAAACAGCGGAATATTAAATTGTTAATTTAATACATATATTACATCCGTTTTCCTTACAACTGATCTCTGCTTAATATATTTCGTCGTTTCCGTAACAAGTATGAACTACATTAAGTTTTAAGCAAAGCACATTCGAGAAACTCCCCTAATATTAATTTCTGTTATTTAATCTGGAATCACTAACTTACTAATCAGCAATGTGGAGATAATAACCATTTATAATTTGTTCTAGTATTTCTTCAGTCTTTCCAGAAAAACCTGATAAAAGCCTAACTTCAGCTTAGCACCTAAGCACACGGTTATTTCAGATGTTATGAATTGTTCATAGACTAGTTATAATGTCCAATTGTTCAATTTTTTGAAGATGAAGATTTTGGTTTCTTGACGAAATAAAAAAATACTTTCCTAAACAAATTTATCACAGATCCATATACTGGGTAAAACTTTCACTATATTTCTTTCTTTAAGCACAAAAACATCTTCAGAAAACACTTGGAAAATCTACCGTAATCATTTTATAAGAATGTTACAATTTTCTGTGAGTCAGTCAGCTACAGCGTATGACTAGGCATATAGTTGCCACACCTCATTAGCACAACAAGATGAACACCAATTTCATAGACGTAGTTACTTCAATGATTGTAATGTATAAAAGAAAGGTTGTGTATAAGGATATAGTACAGGAAGAAAGAACTAGTTGGTAGAAAGAAAGGCATAAAGTAATTCTAATCCCACAGTTTAAGAGAAGAAATATAGTGTATACATCGATGCTATTGTGATCGATTCTGGGCCATGTCACAGGCTCCAATCATTGGTTACAACAGTCACGAGGACCCCAATCAAGTAGTCTGCATCTACCAACATGGCTCAGACTAGAAATTATTGACTTCAATGTCTGATGCCACGTTTTAGTTTGGCCGCTCCTAACTTTCTTTCAACCATCTTCAACACTATCCAACATTGTGCGTCATAGTAATCAGTATTCAAGCAAACGTATCATACTATAGCAACTCATTTATCAACACCTTTCACTTTCACACTAAATCAATTAATCTGAATAAATACATTCAATTATAAATGAATATTGAGATCAACAATATAATATTTACCACTCATTCACACATACCAAGTGCACTACTAACATACATTAAAAAAATGGTATAAAAACAGGTAAAAAAAACTTTTTCTGTTTCGGCAAATTATTTTACAGTAAATACACAAACATACCAAAAATAGAAACCTTAAAAGAATTTTTTGTAGCGAGACTATAATTTATGAACGAACCAATCAAGTATAAGATAATAAGTTTTGGATTTCCACATGAAATTCACTCATCCATTTGGTTAAATAGAGTTTTGGCATTATAGCTGATATCAGTTCGTGATGAAAACTCTAAATATAATTCCTAACCTTAACCATCATGTGTAAATCATAATTCTAATTCGTCACACAGATTTATAACCCTCATTTGATCCTATTTATTAGGTGGACACTCTTAAGGTTAGACTAGTGTCATTCAAAGGTCATTTATAAATTATAGTCTCACCATTTTTGTTTTAAAACATGTAAATTCAGTTCAATTTCTGTATAGAGATATAAATTATCATTGATATTTACCATAGAAATATATAGTAGACAAACTAGGGTTTTTTTCGGTCTATAATAGAAAGGTATATTTAGTAGAAGAAAACCACACTTAAAATGCTTATATCATAAAAAAACTATTATTCCTTATTTGTATTATTATTATTATTATTGGATAGTAACAACTAACTGGTGGTCATATTTTAACCATTTCGGAATGTTATATATTTGATGTCAGTTAGCTTTTTAGGGCATCCCCCTTCTTATTAGAGAGATAATAAAAAAAAATAACATGATTCATAAAAATGAAATTTATCTTTGTTCATATAGGTGTAATAATTATTTTACTTAAATATTTTGACAGAATACAGATACCAACAAAATAAGTTAGTTATATTAATGTAAAGAATTTACCATTAGATAATGGATATGTTTTTCTTTATTGTACTTGTCTATATGCACTATGCTAGGTATACATTAAAACGACAGAAAAGCATTGACCAATTTCTCTTTTCATTATATGACAAATTTTCAACAACTGGTTTATTTTTCTGATATATACATATATATATATATATATATACCAGTTCTCACTAATTTATGTCTCTTTTATACTTTTCCTTTTTTGTTAGAATGAACCAAACAAAATAAACTGCTATTTATAAAAACCAATACCCAAATGGATTTTATTGTATGCACAATTTTGGTCAATATGTACAATAACGGTTATAGTATATATTTTTTCTCTCCAAAAACTCAACAAATATTGAAAATTTGCTGTTATTCTTACTTTCTTTATATACAAATGTAATATGAAGGTATTATTACCAATAAATTCAGCATTGGGTAGATTGTTATAAATAAAAATAATATATCAGATGGGTTTTGTGGAGGTCTGTTGTGAGATAGTAACTCACTGAAGACAATGGTGAATGTGTCGCTCTATTTCATGGACTAGTTGAAGTTAGACATTAACACCGTTGGATGCCGTTCAGTGGTTTAGTGGTTAAGTGCTCGCGTGCGAAACCAGTGGGTCCTGGGTTCGAATCTCGCAGGGGGAGATGTTGTGGATGCGCACTGCTGAGGAGTCCCACAATAGGACGAAACGGCCGTCCAGTGCTTCTAGGTTTTCCATGGTTGTCTAGCTTCAGCTGACTCATGATCTTAACCATTGAAAAATAATATATACTTGTAATAATCAAATGAGAGGAAAAATTGAATTTTCTAATGTTTCGTGACTCAGTGTAAGCCACTTCTTCAGAGAATAAATAACCAAATCAAAATGAATCCAAGTTTAAATAGTACAATGGAACAACATGTAGTATGAATTCTCATTAATAATAGACGAATAACGATTGTTTTTATTACTGTTTTAAAGAAAATTGTATGTTTCGTTTTATAGGTTAATATAAACAAATAGAAGTTAAGTTTCACATCTAATATATATTAGATGATTAAAATAAAAACGAAGCGCCTTAATTGTTGGTAAAAATCTGTATGTTCAACTGAAAATGAATGACATAATTTAAGGGTGATTATATAAACACTTACCTATTACGAAGCTGAACGAGATAAATAAAGATACTTATTATGCACTTTCGAACATTATAAGAATGATTGATATAAACGAGTTATTTTTGAAAGTTGGTCTTTTTAATTTTTGTTAGAGGGATCCAAAGAACTTCCAATAAAGGCTCCGAAAACGCTAAGAAACATCTTATTCATGTAGCATTCAATGGAATTTTTGCCAAAAAATAATCTAGAAAGTGAAACGTCACATGTCGTGCTTCTGACTGGATGATTATCCATACTGCTACTATGCTTAGTGGCGTTCCAGAATTTTCCAGAAACCCAAGGCCTTCTAAAATAACATAAGTACCTTAGATCTTCTGTACATAAACAAACCTTTGAAGTAAAGCGTTTCTTCCATATTTTGCGCTTGTTCTCTTATGTTCAAGCTGCTATGTAGATTTAGTCTGAGGGTTAATAAAAAAGCTTAGGAACCGAATCTAACATTTAATTAAAAGACTTATCAATTTTGATAAAAACGCATTGCATAGTTGTAGAAAAAATAATTTATACCATCTAACAACAAATTCGAGGCTTCATTATATTTCATCCCAAAATGTAATCTAGATCATTTTTATGGAGTACATTTACGTTCACCTACCATATAAACAAACATTTATGAATTAAATTCATGTATCTGATCAATAATTGAATGTTTAAAATATTATTCATTAACTAAGGTATGAATATTGTAATCAAAATCTTGGAAATAATTACTGTCTAAAAGTAAATGGACTTTAATTTTCTGGGGTTTTTTTAGTGCTTGTAAGACTAATGACAAATGAATATGTAAATTGGACCAAATTGTCTACAAAAGTACTTAGTATTTTAGTATTCTCATAGTCTATTTCGATCAAAGTGGTTCCAATTTGAAATTTACATGAATATCTATTTATCTTACATAAGAATAATCTTTGGAAAAAAATGATTGTCTACCTGCATCTTTACGACAGAATTTTTTCAGTTTAATTCTTTCTTTATTTGTACTACATGGTGGACAGTTTATATCACCTGCAAGAAAAAAGGTAATAATAAAAGTAATTAAAATTGAATCAGTAACTTCGGTGAGACTATAATTTATGAACGACCTTTGAATAACATTAGACTAACTTTAAGAGTGTCCACCTAATAAATAGGATCAAATGAGGGTTATAAATCTGTGTGACGAATTAGAATTATGATTTACACATGATGGTTAAGGTTAGGAATTATATTTAGAGTTTTCATCACGAACTGATATCAGCTATAATGCCAAAACTCTATTTAACCAAATGGATGAGTGAATTTCATGTGAAAATCCAAAACTTATTATCTTATACTTGATTGGTTCGTTCATAAATTATAGTCTCGCCGTAACTTCATTTCCGATAAAAAAAAGGAAAGTATTAGTTTACTTCATTCATTAGTGAAGTAATTTAGCCATTGATGAGGATATCTTAACTAAGGAAAAGAAAGAGCTCGAATTTCTTAATTGATTTCTGTATGAAGAAATAGTAAAATGAAGTTGAATAAAAATAGGTAGAAGTTAAAGCAACCAGTCTTTGTCAAGCTTCCCTCAGTAAGGTTAATAACTAAGGAACTGTTGATAAAGCCGTTTCACATAATCTTGATCTGCAAACTGGTTCATTTCATAGTTTATGAATTATAGGGTATAATTATATCATAATTGTAAACGAACTTGTTAACCAATAATATCTTTGAATAAATGAACTATAATATTTGTTAGCTGATAATGTTATCAAAAATCTGTAGTATACTTAGCTTTCAGTTCACGAGGAAAAATGAAGATGGCTTATTACTTTTCTATAGTAAACAAAAATCTGAATATATTTGGAAAATTTGACAATACTAAAATTGTCTAATCATAACACAAATCGACCTACCTGGTGTATGAGCCAAAGCTACTGCTCGAGATGTGAAATCTAAGAAAAAGAGAAAAATATAAAAGCGATAATAATTCATCAGTACGATTGATTAGTTTCAATGAAGTATTTACTAATACAAAAAAGGTATCAAATGTAAAGCAAATGGAAATTACCATGAGTATCTGAATGGTCAATTTATAACAATAATTACATATTGAAAGATTAACATTTTTTTCATTATAAAAATAGTTGTAAAACAATGAGTAATAGAAACAAGTTCATTAGCCTACGGTAAATAGAATCTCTGAAAATTCTGAAACCTTAAAATCAAAGCAGTGACAGTATTTATTGAAAATTCTCCGTAAGTCGATGATAATCTGGAAACAACTAATCAATGATCATTTTCGTCCTATTTCGGACTATTCAGCTGGATGTACATGCACTCCCGAGTTGATGTTCACTCTGGGACTCAAACCCAGTACCGTTCACTTCAAACACCATCGCGTTATCAACTTAGCCACTGAGTCCTGATAGCCAGCTGTTTGTACAATCGGGTGAAGTTTAAACTTATTTGATGTTGTTTACTTTAATCGATATTTAGGACTACAGCTGATCACTATTTTGTTGGCATATGTGACTGAAGGCAATATTGAGGCAATCCGTACAGGATGCACATATGCTAATAAGAGACTGATCAATTGTAGTCCTAATTAACGATGGAAACATACAAGCAAACAAAAACAAGTGAATTTATTCAATGATCAGTATAATATTAATGGCTGGTATTCATTAGTAAATACTTGATGATTATTTCTATGACATAGAAATTCATACCGTTCAGTAACTAGGGAGTTACATCTTTTCGGATAATAAAACGAATTTATTTACATTTCAGGATATAGATAAAAAACAGATAAAAACACTATCGAATCATCAAGTGTTAACAATTAGTTCAACTGAAACTAACTAAATCATAACATAAAAATGACATTTTCAGTGGCACTAAGACTTTCAATGTTTTTTTGCGCATTAAACTTGTCTAAAATTCTATTGAAACTTAAAACCTTAAATCTTGAACAATTTCAAAATGTTACACATAACATCAGAATTTAGATTGAGAGCAAAATAAAACTTTGAGTTACATGTGAAATTATGTCAATGACTTTTAATTCAAATATATAATATATAAAAGATTGGGTTAAAAAAACTATTAAACATAATATCAGAAAGGGCTTTTTGTGGATATTATAGTAATTTAATAGTTGAGATCATGAGTCAATTGAGGCCAGATCGCTACAGAAAACCTGGAAGTACTGGACAGCCGTTTCGTTCTAGTATGGAACACTTCATCAGTGCGCATCCACGATCCCGCTCAGCGGGATTCATACTACTGCGGTGGATACCCTTTAATTTCGATGAAATATTTGGTTTCGTAGTTATCATTATAACTTAAAAAACAGAACCAGAATCAAACAGTCATTTTCGTTTTTATATAGCGACTGCTTCAGTTTAACAATTGAATTATACAATTTATTTGGCAGTTCATACAGTCGATGAACACTTTTGTGCAATAAGTTATAATTTTCTAGCATAAATCCTAAACAGAAACTAAATTTTGTGGATTAGTTGAAGTTAGACATTAACACCAATAGATACCAGCTCAGTGGTCTAGAGGTGAAGCAATCGCACGCTAGACTGATAAGTCATAGGTTCAAATCTCGCGAGGCGGGTTCGTGGATGCGCACTGCTGAGCAGTCCCATAATAGGATGAAATAGCCATCCAGTGCTTCAAGGCTTTCCATACTAGTCTAGCTTCAATTGACTCATGATCTCAACTATTGAAGAAACTAAATTATTAAAACTGCTTGATTATTGATACCCATCAGGATAGGAAAGAATAAGATGACATAAAAAAGAACATTATGAAATTATGCTAAAATTACTCTATGTCAAACAATACAAATAAACCGTTTTTTTATTAGATGAAATGATTATGATTATTGTCCAAAAAATCAGATGAAACATAAATTAAATAAGAAATAATTCAATGATTGATTGAACAAAATCAAGTGATTTAAACAAAACAATTAGTTTTAACAGAGTTTTGTATTGAACATTCACTTGAAGTTTGTTTGTTTTTTTTTTTTCTCCTTTTACATTCAACAAAAAACTAATTTGTGTGCCAATTTTAAATCTTCCTTTTTTATTGAATTTATGATTATGATATTAATGAAGATGATATGTAACCGTAATTGGTTTACTTTTATTTTCCGACCAATATTTATGTATAGTTAGTTATTTTATGAATATACATGTAGGATTTAAGTAGAGAACTGTAATAGAAAAAAAAATGTTGACATCTGTCATATAAATCATTATATGTGTAGTTTTGTCTTTTCATTTAAGCCTATTATTTTATGCATGTACATATAGAATAAGATTTATAATGTATCATGTATACAACAATACGATGAAATAGATATTAATTATCTACAAGCTTAATACAAGTCAATGATGAAATGTTAAAGGAATATGTATTTTGGCTAGTTAAAAGATAAGTGAAATTGTTTTCACAATCTTAAAATGTTATATGAAGAAAGAAATAGATCTGTTAATAATGTTATAGGTTTTAATTTAATTAATCGGATAATTTAATCATCATTAAATGGTTTACATAGATGTTTTAAGTATGGTCGCGATAATCCAGTCATAATAGTTTTAAAATTATCACATATGAAGTATTTACAAATGCGTTTCCTAACGGATTCTAGAAGATTTACCAGCCATTTTGCTAAATAGTGGCAAAGGGATCCTGACATATCAAGAACTGAGCTGAGAGATAGGCCAAGTTTGTGTATTTTTGACAGACCGTATAATCGCGGAATTATTGATCCTGTTGGTTTTATGCGCTCATTTTCATTCTCCTAAGAACTTCAATCAGTTGCTTTTCCATAATTTCAGTCTTGTTTTTCTTATCGATTGGTTTCGAGAATTCAGTGTCATCTGATAATAACTTTTTCATCTTTTCGACATGAATCTTGCGTTCTAGCAGCACCTTTATCTGGACGTGTTATAATCAAGTTTTTATTGTTTCTAAGTAGTTTTAGTTGATTTCTATGTTCTTTCATTAAAAGACCTTTGTCTGTTACTTATGTGGTAATATATTGGTTGCAGCTATCAAGAAGAGTAGATTTGAAACTTTGGAATTCTTGGTCAGAGACTGGACAAAAGCCATTTGTTTGTTTGATTAAATTTTCGAATTGAACACGTGTGGATTATATTAAATGCCATGCACAAAGTGTTATCGATTCTATTAGTCAACACATCCAGTTATTGGAATTTAACATTTTGCAAAGATCTCCTGTGTCATATGAATTATCACCTAACGAACACTATTTTTTCACTGATTGTGTTACCACAGTTACTGACAAACGCACGAAAAAATTAATATCGGACCCCATTAAAAGTTTGAAAGCCAAAGAAACATAGCATAAATTTCCTAGCAATCCTTAGAGGTATATGTTTAATCATTCTTCAATGTCCTTAACAAATGTACAATTAGAGGCCTTATCTTTGGGAATAAAATTCTGTGACATAAGTTGAAAAATTAATAAAATCCACACATGTATGTTTCTTAGTTCAATCAAAACAGGCGAGCGATTATATACATAAAAATCATTGGTCATCTACTCGCGTCTTATCTATTGATGAATTTAGCAACTATATGCTTTGATTATGTAGCTAGATGGGAAGCATTTTATCACTGGGCTCCTGATAAGTAATATTCCGTTTTATAAACATTACAAATTTTATAGGCTTGTAAACACTAGTCAAGTGTTTAATGTAAGCCAGAACATTGTAAATTACCTACTCATTGATGATGTCATAAGTCATTTATCTTTATGCATCAATTCGAACTAATTCTTCAAATCTAATTTATTGATGTCTTATTGGTACATATGTCAGTATTCCTTTTGTATGCTTACAACTAGAACAAAAACTGACCTACCATAATTTATTTCTAGGTGAATTCACCTGTGCTTTGTTAATCAGGTTACTAAACACGACTTATTTGTAAAACACTTTGGGTTATTGTGCACATAATCTACAGCATTAGTGTGGACAAATCTTATATGCTTAAGTTTTTTACAATGATATACGTGACTGATTCACCATATGAAATAGTATGAATAGATTTCTGAAGGTTTATATCCTTTGGAGAATTACTCTTGTGTTACGTAATCACTCATGTGTAGATAAACGTTGAATCATGTTAATACAGTTGATAATTTATAATCTTATGATAAATAATTTGACCCTAAAATTAGGTACCATAAAGTTTAAAATTAAGACAAATAAATATTTTTTTGACCTTTGATGATTCATACAAAGTTCATTTATTTGAGAAACTTGATTTATAACTCGAAAGCTTGAGAAGAAAATTATTGAATGACAGTCATTCTTAAAAATATTACCAGTTATCTGAATGTAAAATTTTATTTTACTGCGGTATGTTATTTATGTCGAAGATTAATTTTATCACAGACAGTCAGAACAATCTTCATTCTGAATAGTTAGACCTTTTTCATACATTTATGTAACATGTAATAACACGGGTGAATACCAGCTCTGTGGTCTAGAGGTTTAACGTCCGCGGGCGAGGCCGAAGGTTCTCGGTTCGAGTCTCGTCTGCGGTAACGTAGATGTGCATTAATGAGAGACCTCATAATAGGACCAAAAGATCATTCATTAATTCCAAGATTTCAGTTGCGGTGTAACTTAGATCGGTTAGCAATTTTAATGAAAAAATAAAATTGTTCTTCTAGCTGCACACAATTAAATATTCCGTTTTTCCTTACTATATGGACATTTGCAGATAACTAGTCGTTGATTAAGAATAATTATTGTATACCTGAAGATCTAACCACCAAGAGTCTTGAATTCTTGCCTACTGCAATATCCTCTTATTCGAGTGATAAAGTATTGAAAATGGAAGTGAAAAATATCTTAGCAATAATCAACACATAGGAGTCTTAAAGTTAAGTTGAACTCTCCAAAGCTGTTGTTACCAAATGAATTTTGTCTGACATGTGCTGAAGTTAAAACTATTACTAACGTTTTATTTTCAATGTAATACGCTATTATTTTTGGTTTCAAAGAGTAAATTGAACATATCTATGTGTAATCTCTGTTTATTTTTATGCAGTGATCGTTTAGTCATGTTTTGATATTGAATGGAACTAATGATTAACGAGTATATTATTTAATTCTTTAGTGAATATTCTAAATATTTATTTATTAGGTGACTAAAAGAGTAAAATATATGCAATATTAGATTATTTGTTGGAAAAGAGACAGTAGCTCACCCATGAGAACAGATGATGATTGAACTATTTCGAAAATTATATGAAGTTACGAATGAGAATCACTGGATTCCACCTGACTAGTCAAAAAGTATTGAACTGACCAACACATGAGTTTCCTATTTTGAACTCATCTAGGTTTCTGAGGTTACTGTTGACGTGTTTCAAAATTTAAAAAAAAATAAATGTTTAGGACTATTTAGTTTACATTTACTCGTCGAATAATTATTGTTCGTCAGTTAATCAGTCAGACATACGTGACGTATGTATACATTGCTTACCACACACCATTAGAACAGTCAAATAAAATTATCAAGGTAAATCTCAGAACACTAGAGTTAGTAATAGTATTGGTGCGAAAAAAAAGATTAGGCATCAAAGATACAATTCGTGAAAGAAATATAGATTTGTTGAACAGAAAAATTTATAAGGTAAATAGGAAACTCAAAATCCAAGTGAAGAAGAAAAGTGATAACCCCTGCACCCTTGTGAACAATTCTAAGTCACATCACCTAATGTATCAAACAACTAGCTATGGCAATCATGCAGACATGATATTTCGTAATGTAAATTATCTTCATTCTAGATATAAGTCAAATAAATTGAAATTTACACAAACCCTCCGGTTATTAATTATATATTTGCTTCATATAGCATTATTGTTTAACTCAAGTCCCTAAGATCGATTCTCTCTTAATTTGAAGATATAGATAAAATTGTACTCATATTAGCATTATATTTAGATTATACGTATCAAGCTATTACCTAATGACGCAAGAAATATATTAAAGGCCTAGAAATTTGAAGGAATCCAAAATGCACAAGGAATTTATACGATAATCAAGTTTCTTATTGAAATGAAATTTTTTATTATTTACTAAATAGATTCTTGCAATATTCTTATGATAATAATCAGAAAAGAGTTTTGTGGAAATCATAGTAATTTAAAAGTTGTATTCATGAGTCAATTGAAGCTAGACCACCATGGAAAATCTGAAAGCACAGGATGGCCATTTCGTCTTAGTATGGGACTCCTCAGCAGTGCACATTCACGATCCCGCTCTTGGGATTTGAACCTATGACCTACCGGTTTCACGCGTGATTCCTCAACCTTTAGACCACTGAGCCATCATCTAACGGTGTTACTGTCTAACTTCAACCAATCCAGTCGTGGATGCGCACCGCTGAGGAATCCTATACTAAGACGAAATGGCCATCCAGTGCTTCCAGGTTTTCCGTGGTGGCCTAGCTTCAATTGACTCATGAATTCAACTATCCAAATTTTTATGATATTTTATGTAATTTAAGTAATCATTCTACTGTGTGTGAATAAAAGATTCTGGAAAAAAGTGTAATACTCTGAGAATAATATAATTTAACTTGTCCGAATTCCTAATCATCAATCAAAATAAAATACATTTTTCCGTTTAATTAAACTTTAAGATAGACATGAGAAAATACATAATTTACAAATTCAATCACATTTATGTAAAAAACTTAATCATTGACATGAAGAATGTCTTCAAGCATTCTTTCAAACATATTAACAGTATTCTAACAATGAGTAGTTTCATAGCTTGAATAAACACTCTTAAAACAATTATACCAGTAATATAAGAAAGTATTAATTATGTATTTAAAAGAAAAAGGACTGAAATTGATGGATGGAAAATACCGAAGTCTGAAAATGAAATAAAGAATGAATAAAGCTACTTACAATATGATTTAAGTTTGCCAACCACTGGTTCAAATTTTCACATGAACTTAACTGGAAATTTTGTTTCGCCTAAAATAGTTTTCGTCATAAATCAGCAATCTCTTTGAATGATACTGCACTTCTTTTGATGCACACTTGGTGGTTTCACTGTAAATAAATATACCCTTCAAGGATATCTATGGTCAAATAGTGACAGAACTCAAAAGTCCTTCAATTCCGTATATTTAAAGTTAAGACATGGTCAATGCTAAGGAGTATATTCGATATTAAATAGTATTAAAAAGAAGTTTGGTAATCAGAAAATTATTTTTAAACATAAAAGATTACTTCAAAACAAAGCGCTTCAATAGCATTTATTTTTTACCTTTCGTACAAGGATTAAGTGGAGAACGCGTTTGATGATAGCCATCTTGACAACGATCACAGGTTAAACCAGCTACACCTTGTTTACATCGACACTGTCCACTTCTTCTATCACAATCATGACGGACAATAGATCCAATTGGATGACATCGACAAGCTGTGTAAAGAAAATTAAATAATCTTTTCACTATGAAACATTTAACAAAAAGTGTTGATAATAATATTTAATATCCCAACAAATCAATCTTGATAATAGAGTACACTCTTCACATTCAAAGCTTTATTAATAATGGAGCAAGAGAGTAAAGTGGTATGAACTTACAAATCACATTTAATTAGACGAAAACTTGTATAAATTGTATAAATCATAAGCCACAAACCTGATTTTTGGTGCCACTTTGTGAAGCGAAGCTCCTGTCTACAATTAAGGTTATTGATTGATAAGTATATGGATCAAAGACCAAGAATTCTTACAATAAATAACAAAATTATGATAAAATAATACAAATAACAAAGATAAAGTTTAAAATGCTAGATTTGTTACAGAAACTAGGTCATACAGAATGTCTATTTATAAGTCGGTAAATGAAATAATCAGTCATAACACTTAAGAGGAAATTAAATCATGAAATATCAACGAGGAATGATTTATCAGTGATCATCAAAGTATCAATTAGCGCATGATTGTCATAGTTTTCTATCTTGATTATTCCAAATATATCTGAACTAACTACATTGTTTTCTATGTTAGTCAACTGGTGAGTCATTCTGCTAAACTACAAATATACACTTATCAGCCTAAAATTCATTTGTACATTAGGTAGAAAAGATCCCATTCACGTCTGCAGAGGTTCACATAAGTTTAATTGTCCAGTCTCAAGTTACAAAATCTATCAATTTTTAACTGATATGAAACGAAATTAATGCTCTACATTAGAAATTGTTAAATTCTTAAGAGAAACCACTGAATAAAGTGAAATTCTTCTGTTCATAATTGATTGATCACTGGGTGGTGATCAATGTCATGTGTGTCAAGTCCCTATGTAGTGCAGATTGAATGCTATCGAACATGTTGCAATGTGGCCACTAGTCTAGGTGACTCGACACTGCGTGTACTATATATTGAGATTAGATGGTGGTTGGAGGTAGTCGACAGGAAACCCTGAACCCGGGTTTCATGCTACTTGGCACTCGTCAGCAAGGTGTACCTGTAATCTTGAGGGAACTGGCGCTCCCTGGCGGATTCGATCCCGTATCACCCAGCTAACGAGTGCCAAGTAGCACGAAACCCGTGTCCAGGGTTTCCTGTCGACTACCTCCAACCACCATCTAATCTTCTATTCAGTAAATAATAAAAAATCAAACAAGCAAGCAACTGCACGTTCAACAAATTCACTTTAACAAGAGTAGATCCATCTATATCATTTTTATGTTAAAGTAACTAATGTAAGTTATATCTATTTATAATATACACTGACAGTGATATAACAATAATATTATCATAACATTTTCATTGAGAGTAGACAGTATTTAGTATAATTTTTATGAGGACAATAAATAGAGATTCAATTCAGCAATTAATCAAAGCTCAAAGGGGATTGGAATTGAACAGAACGCATATATTAATGAAATCCGAAGTCTATGTTTTGAAAGAAGAGACAGTCAAACTAAACTAAAATTCCCTTGAGATATGCATAAATGTTGAAATTAGTTTATAGCAATAAAATATTTAAATTCATTTGGTACTGTTTACTTGAATCTTTTAATTGATGTTTAGAACTGAAATTGATCAGTCTCTTATTGATATATGTGCATATTGTGCGTATTGCCTTGATATTGCTCTAATTCACAAGCATTACAAGCACAGATGAATAGTGGCTAGTAGTGTAGTCCAGGACGCGCGTTTTGTCCTATTCAAGACTCGTCATCTGGATGTGCCTGCACCTCAGAATTGATGTTCACTGATTTTCCACTGCTAGCCACTATCCATCTGTGCTTCTAAATATTTACTTTTTAATTACCTAATTAAAACAACTGTGTTAAAAGTATATTAAAGTTAAATGAATGATCATATTAACTAATGCATAGAAAATATCAATATACCAATTCACTGAAATGTCACGACGAACTGTTCGAACACCTCCCAGTCAACAACTTTTTTTATATTTACGAATCAAACAAACACGTTGATGAATATACCACTTAAATAAATGAGTCAAGATTGATCTTACGTTTAAACTTTATAGATGAAGTGTCGAATTTAAGAAACTATGTGGTTATTATGAAATCCAGTTTTACGGAAGGTTAGTTGTACAATGGTTGTATTATGCACAGAATATTGATTTTATCCGTTCTGTTACTCAATAAAATTATTCGAACGAGTTTATTCATACATTGCATTATTCATATTGTTAGTATTTACAGTTGAATAAATTTTATCCATCAAGCTGAAGTGTCAGTAAGATTTTCATTAAAAACCATCTAAATGAAATCATTTCATGAAGGTAGTAAAAATTGGTTGGAAAACGTTGGTAATCGATTCTCGATTCTATTGTTAAGAACAAAGTTATCTAAATAATAAGTCACTTATTAATTACAAACTGCTTGATTAGTTCAAGTTACCCTTTACAGTTCCAGTTGTTTCAGTAATTCATATCTTTGATCAAAATATCACTGAGTCTAGTCTTGATAGGCTTAGAATCAAATATAAATTATATGTATTTGATTCACACTGGTCTGTAACTAAATGTGAATAATGACCAATTACCACACACTAATTAATTCATAGGTGCATAAGAAATGTTCCTTTTTGAATGTTTTACTAAGATCTATTTTAATACTCAGAGAATACGCAATAAATTTAGAGTTCACTAATCAAAGCATTGAAAATTACATCCTGAGACAATTTGAGACAGCTCATCCACAGGAAAATATCTTTCAACAATCAGTATTTATATATTTTAAGCGTGAGATATCATTCACATTTCAGTTTGAATGATATGTTGCAGTAGTTATGATGATCTAACTTACTTTCAAATATGCTTATTACAAAGAAAACAATAAAATAACCGTCCATTAAAAGTGGATAATTTAGATGAAACTTAGCCGAATATCCATGTCAAAGAAATCTTTGTAAAAAAGATAGTCTTTGATGTTTGATAAACATATAAACTAGATTTTTAGCTTAATTAAAAATACATCTCATACGACTAAGTTTGCAAACGGTTAAAAACTTATTGTGACCTGAAGATGTCTTTCGAAATTTCTTGTGATTCAAATGAAAACTGATAAATACTTGCACCGTCATTGCACTTACATTTGCCAATTTATATGTATGCACTACAGTATATATGTGGGAGATTTATTAAACAGATAAAGAATTTAAATAGTTGAAATCATGAGTCAATTGGAGCTAGACCACTATGGAAAACCTGGAAGCACTGGACGGCCGTTTCGTCCTGTTGTGGGACTTCTCAGCAGTGCACATCTAGTGCTTCCAGGTTTTACATGGTGGTCTAGCTTCAAATGACTCATGATCTTAACAATTAAGACTAATATAATATCCACAAAAACCCCTTCAGATATTCAACTGTTTGCATTACTGTACCTTGAAATGTTTCTCTTTCGAGAACAGCGAAGTATTTAACGATCATGTACTTAAATGTGAACACTTAATAAAAATCAGAATTAAAACCAAGATAAAAATGAATTCCGAGAGCTGAATGCTAACAATTAGAAGTTTGAAATCTCAACTTTATATTCTCAAGGAGTTCGTGCACTATTTCTACCATCAATAGCATCGTTTTTAATGAACATGAATGGTTACAGTTTTGATTCATTGGTATCCTACACCAGTCAACTTAACTTTTCTCTGTTTATTACCCTATGTAGTCAGCTATTTCCAGAATTATCTTCCAATAAGCTTAACAACTTCCAAATACCTTTATTGGGTTATAATTCAACTTTACTCTCAATTAGCTTTATTTTGTGCTATTTTTTTAGTTTCAATGTTGATGGGTTTTTTTTCAATGAACATAAATATTGTCGAATAGGTTATTGTTTAAGAAAAAGTAATGCAATGCAACCAATATGTTGGTCGACTAACTACCTCTTGGTTATCAGCATTTCCCTGTCATCTATTCCTAAGAACTCTATCTTTTACAGAGAGACTAAGGGTGGTTGCAGAATAAACTGGAAAATATCACAAGGTCCGGAAGTCGTTAAATATAACATGCATGTATATAAATATATCAATGGTAAAATTCCTTGAGGTATAATCTACCAAAGAGAAATCAAATGTCAACTGATATTCATCAGTGAGAATTTCATGTAAATCTTGTAATAACTCCATAGCGATTAGATGTTTTGAGACTGAAGAAACATTTTCATTTAACTCATGATTGGAGAATCAGAGAAAACTAAACAAGCTGCAACTTCAAATTGACACTAAATTTATATTTTGTGAAATGATCGAAATATCTATTTAGTGGTAGTTTCAGCTCATTCTCTTTATTTCTTTATTTAATTGACATAATAATAAACACAGGGATAATTAGTTTTATGTCTTCTCGGGTATCACTACGTGTCAATAATGATTTGGGTAGTTTTTTTATGTAATAAAATAATATTTTTACTTTTGGGACATTGCTGTTTATACTGTTATAATCTATTGACAATGAAGTTTGTCAAAACAGAATAACTGAGTCCATTTACATACAAAATATATAGAGTACCTTAAAACTATGCATTAAATTTATTCATTTTAATTAATTTTCGGGTATTGATCTCCTTTCAGGAGTTCCACATATCGACTTACACTACGTAGATGACATAGTCCTGTTTGGTGAAGACGCTGATAAAATGCATAGTCTTCTAGTAGCACTAAGCAACAATGCCAGAATGTTTGGGATGCGCTTCTCTCCCTCTAAATGCAAGTTATTGCTTCAGGACTGGTCTGCGTCAAGACCTGAATTAAAGATAGAGAGTGAAGTAGTTGAACGCGTTGACAACCCCACGAATCTTGGAAGTCTGATCAGCCCTAATGGGTTGGTGTCTGACGAAATCTCAGCACGTTTGGCCTTTGCCAACTTACGTCACCTATGGAGAAGGCGAGATATCCGTATATCAATAAAAGAACGAGTATACTGTGCGGCAGTCCGTTCAGTTTTAATTTACTGCAGCGAAACATGGTCGTCAAGAGTAGAAGATACCCGTAAGCTATTAGTATTTGACCACAGATGCCTTAGAAATATTGCTGGCATCTGCTGGTATCACCGGGTAAGTAATAGTGAGGTTAGACACAGACTATTAGGGAATGATGATAAATCAGTCGATGAGGTTGTGAATCTTCATCGACTGAGATGGTTGGGCCACGTGTTACGTATGCGTGAACACCGATTACCACGACGTGTAATGTTAACCGGTGTTGGGGATGGTTGGAAGAAAGTTAGGGTCGGCCAAACCAAAACGTGGCATCAGTGCTTGAAGTCACTAACTTCTAGTCTGAGCCATGTTGATAGATGGAGACTACTTTGTCGAGGTTCGTGTGACTATCTTAACCAATGGTTGGAGACTCTGGGTGACATGGCTCAGAATCGATCACAATGGCGTCAGTGTATACACTCTTTGTCTTCCCTTAAACTAAGAGATTAAAATCGCTTCATACAAATTTCTTTCTACGAACTAATTCCTTCTTCCTGTACTATATCCTTATATGCAATTTTTATTTTATATATTACCACCTCTGAATTAACTGCTTTTATGAGTCCGGTATTCATCTTGTTCTGTTAATGTGGTATGGCAACTTGGACTGATGCATATATGTGCCTGGTCCTACGTTGTGGCTGACTGATTGACTGACTTTAATTAGTTACATTTGATTATAATAAAACAAAAGAAAATTTTTAAATGAAACATTATAAACTTACGTAAACAAACATTTTCATGACTGATTGGTTTAGTCCAATCTCGATAATAACCTTCAGCACATTGATGACAGTTACGACCAATTGTATTATGTTGACAGTTTTCACAAACACCACCACTTACACGATTCGATAATAAATAAAGTGAATTTGAAAATCGGCATTCATTTGAATGAAGATTACAATCACATTCTAAGATAGGAAATTAATATATAAAATATGTTATTATGATAGATTAAACATGTTCAATTATTGATAATAAAAAGTTGTTAATATCAACTCAAATATTAGAACAAAATGTTCACAGGCTATTTGACAAAATTTATCAAGATAATGAAAAGTTGTTGGCTTTTTAGATCCTGTAGAAACTTACGTCACTTATGGCGAAGTCGAGATATTCATCTATCAATTAAGGGATGAGTATACTATGTAGCAGTTCGTTATATTCTACTTTACAGCTGAGAAACGTGGACATTAGGAGTAGAAGATACTCGTAAGTTACTAGTATTTGATCACAGATGTTTTAGAAATATTTCTGGCATCTGTTAGGATCACCAGGTAACAGTGAAGTTAGATGCAGAGTATTAGGGAATGATGGTAAATCAGTTGATGAGTTTGTGAATCTTCATCAACCGTTTGTTACCTATGCCTGAACACCGATTACCATGGTGGGCAATGCTGACTAGTGTTGGGGACGGATGGAAGAAAGTTAGGAGCAGCCAAATCAAAATAGGGCATCAGTGCTTGAAGGCACTAACTTTTATTCAGAGCCATGTTGGTAGATGCATACAACTTGGTTGGGGTCCGTGCGATTATAGTAATCAATGGTTAACTGACTGGCTGGTAGCACAAGAAAATAGACCGTCAGAGTATATGTTCTAAGTAAACTAAAATAAACACTTCAGTCAAAATGCTTATGGATAAACAAACACATTTAAAGCAATAATATAACATAGTCGAACGCTCAAACGTTTAGGTCACCTACTTACTAACTCTATAAGTATTGTGATAAACAACCAACCAATTATAGTAACTGGGTAATTGTGACTCTTAAGTGTAGGTACCTAAGCCCTGTTGTAACGAACTTACAACTTATTAAGGTGCATGATACCGAAAAAAATCGAATATGGACACTCAAGTTGTTGATGTATTTTCCTTTAGATCTGACCATTGAAGAAAGATGAGAGAATCCTATCGAGATTGTTGCGTTTAGTAAGTGATGTTCGGATAAAGTACACTGCGGAAATCATCAAACTGTATCATAAAGCAAGACCTAACTTTGAACCGTAAAAGGAAGAGAAAAAGAGGAAGACCAATGGACACACTACATCGGGAATTGGAAGCAGGCATTAAAAGAATGAACAGCAACTGGAAAGGGTAGTGTTGGACAGAGTTAGATGGAGAATCCTAGTGGATGGCCTATGCTCATCCACAAGGGGTAACGGACTTAAGTAAGTAAGTACGAAAAAAGGAGCAGAAATCTTTTGAGATTAAAGGTGAATGGCTAATACTAAAAATTGTAAAATATGGACCAGTTATATTTGATAGATAATTACAATTTAAATGAATTTAAAAGAGCAATTTGTTACTTATGGTTCTTCAATATAACAAAACTTGTAACAGTAAATCTATCAACACTTATTCTAACAAAATTACTGATGCATATATATTTCTGGTATTTAGATTGAAATGTTTCAACTAAAATATCTTAGTAAATATTATTATTCTCTTTGAAACATTTTAGATACTGTCTGTTCCATTCCTTTATACAACTTAATGATCATAGCATAAATTATCTATTTTATTCAAATAAAAATTCATCATCTCAATGGTAATTTCACCAGTATATGATCTATAACTGATATGGTTTCTTCAATAACCACTTGATAAGATGAATATAAAGACGATAAAGATCATTCAAAAATAACTATTTTATAGTTGAATCCATGAGTCGATTTAAGCTAGACCACAGCTAAAAACCTGGAAATACTGAACACAGGTTTCATCTCAATATGGGACTCTTCAGAAGTGTTCATCCACGATCCTGCACGAAAAACTTGAATCTAGGACCTTCGATCACACGAGCGAACGTTTAACCTTTAGGTCACTAAGCTATTTTATGCTATTCATTTCTGATGACAATATTTTATGGACATATATTTGAAAAGACTAAACTATCAGTTAGATTTTCTTGCTTGCATAGATTTGATTTATAAACAAACTAAATAAAGGGGTGAAGTTTATTTTAGAAGGGTTTTCAAAATTTATGAACTAGTTTGTATGTCACAGTGTTGAAATATTCATAAATGAACAAACATAAACATATGAAATATTACACTCTTTTAATGGAAATGCTAGTTGAATTTTAAATAAGAGTTATAAATCAAATACATTAAACCTTCATAAAACTCCATTCTAGTCAATAATCATCCATATTGATATCCAAAAGATCTAATCATAGAATAATTTTGATCCAAATCATTTAAGTGGTTTCATTTATTTCAATGACATAGTATAGTATATATAATATCGTTTGATGAATAGAGAATTTAAGTAGTATATTTATTTATTGTTTTATTAAGATCATATTCACAATTATAACAGGATATTTCCTTCCTGTCATATTCAAGAGAAACTAACTATTAAACGGTTTGACATTTTGAATTATCTTTATTATTTTTTTTTCATAATGTTAACTTTAAACCTAGAAAAATTTCCAGTTCTCATTTCACTCTTGTTAAAAGAGAAAGGAATAAATCCATCTCAATAAAATGATTCTGTGTATAGTTTATTATATGTGATTTGTATGATAGTTTAATATCCTTACATTTTTTTATGTTACTCAAATATTTTACGGTTTATTTTGTTACCAATAAAATTTTATGACTTATCCTCACTAAGCAAAGATGAATAGTGGTTAGCAGATTAATCCAGGACGCGCGTCTCGTCCTATTTGGGACTCGTCAGCTGGATATACCTGCATCTCAAAGCTGATGTTCACTTTGGAACTCAAACCCAGTGCCATTCATTTAAAATGCCATCACGTTATCCACTTAGCTACTGAATCCTGATAGCCACTTGTTTGTACCATGGGGTGAAGTTGAAATTCACTTGGTGTTGTTTAATTGAATCTTCCCACTGATGCGTAGGACTACAGTTGATCACTTTGTTACTGGCATATATGCATCCTGTGCATATTGCCTCGATATCAAGACTCAGTAGCTAAGTGGATAACATGATGGCGTTTGAAGCGAATGGTATTGAGTTCGAGTCCCATAGTGAAAATCAACTCTGGGATGCAGGTACATTCAGATGATGAGTCCCAAATGTACGTCCTGAATTCCACTGTTAACTATCATCCAATTTCGCTGATGAAGCTTGTGATTTAAAGCACTATCGAGGCAGTTCGCACTGGATGTACATATGCACACAAAAGATTTATCAATTAATATTCTAAACAACACTGGAAAGATACAAGCAAACAATACCAAGTGAATTGACAATTAGACATTTTGTTTACAGTTCATTTAACAATGAATTAACCCTTTATTATCTTCCTCTCTTCATTTCTAGACAATAACTAATTTGTCTATATACTAAAATAATGAAGGTCAAAGTTAACTAATGTTAGTCTACAATCTTTAATTATACAATTGAATATTCATTCGTTATACTTCTCAAATCTTTTTTTTTTGAATAAGAATTTCATTTATGTAATAAAACAAAAATGAAATGAATTCTCAAATGATTCAATATTTATATAATAAATGTCAAATTTTTATTATTCCCAATAGTATAAATAATAAATTTTATAAAGATTTATTACAAGATGAATCTATTATCAGATTTTAAAAAAAGTGGCTTTAGTTTGTTTAAAGTTTGATTTATTCGTAAATAACAAAAGTAGTAATTCAATGATTGAGATCATGAGTCAATTGAAGCTAGACTACTATGCAAAATCTGAAAGCACTGGACGACCATTTCGTCTTAGTATGGGACTCCTTAGCAATGAGTATCCATGAAAACCACTCTCGAGTTTCGCGCGCGACTGCCTAACCTCTAGACCACTGAACCGGCATCTAACGGTGTTAATGTCTAACCTTAATTAATCCATGAAAGTGTAATATTGTTTAATAACCACATATAAGATAACAAGTGTAACTGTAGTGTACAAGAACATGAGTGGGGAGCAACTGAATGTAATATGAACACAAAATTACGGAATATTACACTAAAATCTGAGAACAATACAGTGAATAGTTGATTTGCAAAATATCAATCCGTCGTCTCTAACTTAACTATTCCTTTTACAAATATCAGTTCATGGTCTCAGATTTCATTGTTCATGCATCTTCATGCTAATTACTCTCATTTCTCATCCTTTCCCTTTCGATCTTCCATTGAAATAGATTCTATGTCTGATCATCGTTATATATTACTTATGTGAATATAATTAACTCACACCACATACCCAATTCATGATAGATACATAAACTTACTCAGAAGAACTTCAGATGACAGTTAAAATAAACAGACTTAGATTCATAAATCACTTTTTTTATATCCTTATAAATAATATGACAGTTCCTAAGGTAAAGCTAAGAAAATCTTACGTATTAAATAGAACACAAAATTTCTAAATGATATATGTTTTCAGGTTATGATACTTTTTGTGTGAGGATAATAAACATTCTATTACGTTGTTTTACCAAAATATTCATAATGTCTATAATATAATCTATAACGTTTATACTCTTGAGTTTATATATAATTATCAAATTACCACTTTATGTATTCGACTATAAAGGTGATTAGAAAATCTATTAATTCTTTCAAGAAATCTAGTATCAAACCTAATTATTTTCATCTGTTTGCTATTCAAATATGTTATGATGAAAATGTAGATTATGACATTAAAGTTTTTCAATACTTAAATCGAACTTTATTTGAACACATAAATATTGGTACAAGAGGGCACCAAATATATATGCACCACACTTTGTGTGAGGGCTGTGATGCTACCTGAGTGTCCAAATTGAAGCAGGTGGTTTTCATAGGGGGCCACACCCGGAGCCTTCGACCTAAAGGTCTAACCCACAAGGCAGCGGAGCATCGTGAGGAAATGCAGTCCCATGGTAGCCATTGTCTAAAATTTGGTTCATACGCCATTTTTTCCCTCAGGATACTGGAGC